GTGTCAAAATTTCAAAGGAATCGGTAGGAACAAACAAACATTACATTTTTATTTATATAGATAGATAGATGATGATCTGCTTTAGTTCATTTTCACAGAAAAGCATAATGCCTCACAGAAAAGCAAACTTAGGGCATCGTACTCGTAGCGCCATCTGTTGGACATAAAAGCCTTAACCTAGTGATATCTTTTAATTTATATGAATGTTTAACGGAATAATATACAGCCTATGTCCACCCTGAAGTTCCATTCTAAATATTGGTGAAAGAATTTTTGAATCTGATGAGTAGTTTCGGAGATTACCTGCTGCATACAAACTTACATACAAACATTACCTCTTTATAATATTAGTATAGATGAAAAATAGGAAACACGGATTGATTTATTTAACTCTTTTTGTCTTGCTGGCATTAAGAGGGCCATTTTTTTCCGTATATTTGGCCAGGCTCACAACAAAGCCTTTGTAAAGCCAACCATATAAATTTCTGAGACTAACCCAGATTTCAACCAGGTCTCTCAGAATATCAGTATGATGATTTTAATGTCTTAAGCATATATTTGTTTATTACATTTACTAATGAAAAAGATTTGTCATATCTTTAACATTTCTATTTATCAGATTTTAACAACATTAATCGATTAATTATGCGAAATTAAATAATTTCTGTTAAACTGCAGAAAATGTTTCTTACCTCCATAATATAAAAAATAGTGTAGCTTTATGAAAAGCAAATTCTTGTTAATGTTTTGATTAAAAATCTTCATGATGATTTACAAAAAGAAAACCTTTTAATACAGAAAAAAAAAATTCATTAAAAAATATTAAAAAATCATATTTTATCAATAACTTAAAACTTGGATATTAAAATTAAATAAATATTAAAAATATTAGACACAAAAGCATTTAAATTTGAACAAATATTTTAATAATCTATAGCCAAAATTCTGGAGAACTGGGAAATGCACAGAACAGGAAATACAGCAGAAGAAATCAAAAAATTAAAAACAGAAATATGGTCCTTAAGAAAATGTAAAATGGAAGTATCAGCAAAGTTTACAAAAACATGATGTAAATTTTTTTGAGAATGTTGATGGTAAACCTGCTGATGAGAGACAACAGGTCCAAAACATAAAGATATCGTATATGTTCAGGTGATAAATAAAGACTGTTTTTATGACTTTGTTTACTTAATTTGCAGAATCAGTTATTCAGTATAAAAAGTCCTAATAATAGATAAGTCCTAGTTGACATTTTAAGTTTAAATTAATAAATTAAGGACAGGCATTTAAATTTGATCCTCTGGTGAAACTTTTAACATTTCTACATTTATTTACTTATTTATTCCAATATTAATTACAAAGTCACAAAGACTATAAATGTATAATGGAATATCTTGTTCTGTCCATAGTAACAGAACAAGATATTCCACTGAAATTACACTATAACAACAAACAATATACATACATCTCATCATGTGGAAGAGGAATGTGGAATATATAGTGACTCAGAGTAATTGAGCTTGGGTGGAGGGACAAAAATTTTTTTACAGAATATGCAAAGTATAGAAATTAAGCTTTAAATGTGACATATTGTATTAAAAATGCATGTAAAATATTGGCTAATGATAAATGCATAACATGACACCATAAGGATCATTCACCCTCTGCTCATCATACTTTAATGTATCCCATTCCTAAGCAGTGTGATATTTATAGACAGCTCCAATCTTTCAATTTGATTATAGAGTACTTTTCTTTTGAAAAATAAATGCAGCATATAGGCCTATTTGCAATTTGTTTTTTGTTTAACTTGATTACAAATTACTTAATTGGTAATCAAGTGTAAATAACATCTTACATAAATAATTTGGCCCTGAGAAAAGAGGATCAGTAAGGCATTTAGTTCAGGTTCCAGACAATTTAGTATTTGGGTTTATAAATAAAACTAGTATCAATGTAACAAAAATTTGATTTTTAATCATATATTAAAATAAACTTTGATTTTATTCATATATTTGACTTTTAAAGAGAAGTGGATATACCACATTGTGACTGGCCGAGGCCCCATTTCCTCCTTCTAACTCCTAAAATAGTCCAACAGTAACTAATTGGATAAAACTGCCGATAGGGTTGCAGGTTTGCACTCGATCAACAGACTGACTGTATGGAGATTTACTTCAAGTGTCTAACATCTAAACAGGGGCCAGTCTCCCATGAGAAATCCTCCTGGGAGGCACCCTCCTTTAGCAGATCACCCCTGTGTTGCTTTATCTGATCAAATAAAAACCACTCCCTATAAAAATTATATTTTTATATTGTAATAATCAATCTGACCTTCCATTTCTGGTAGCTACTCTTAAAAATGAACTCATATTTAAAAAAATAATGAATATATAATTAATAAATATCTTCTAATATTGAAAAATCACATAATACACATTATTAACTTAATTTATTTTACTATCATTATTAAAAATATTAAACTTACTTGAAAGAGTCAGAGATAAATACTTTCAAAGTATTTCCTTTTTGAATCCAGTTCAAAAAAACTAGTTCTAGATCTGAAAAGGAAGTAAAGTGCTTTGTAAGCATTTATCAATATTTAATCCCTCCTTCAAGTAAATCTGATATTTTTAATGAGTTAGGTTATTAATTTTGTTGTTTGTTTTTAGCCATGTATAAAATGAATGCAATCATCTCCCGAATTCTGAAAAGGTCGATACAAAAATGGACATAAAAATTTTATTCTTGCAAAACTGACAGATGCGAAAAATCAGTTTTTATCATATTTTTGTTATTATTTTTAATAAAATATTAAAGATGTCACCATTTAGCACTAAATATAATTTCCTGCTATGTCAGATAACAAATTAATTTCCTTCTACGTCAGAGAACAAATTAATTTCCTTCTACATACAAAAACATTTAAATTTTTTTATGCAAAAATCTATAATATATGGATAACTGTGCAATAAAAAAAAGGTCAGTTTTTAATCATTAATCAAGTGTTACTAACCTATTCTATGTAAATATTATAAAATTGATTATTTCAGATCAAAAATATCTTCTGTTCATGATAATTCTGCTCATAATAAATATACAGATAACAGTTACCTTCAAATACTGTATTACCAAGTTGCATAATATATATGATTAATTTTGTTACAACACACAGATCAAAAAATTAATGAATCGTGTTTTAAGTCTTGAAAAAGGTCTCTAAGATAGATTGATTTTTTAGAATTTTGCATAAGTTAAATGTTGACATTCTTAATATTTTATTATAAACAAAACTAGAATAAAAAATCACTTTTTTTAAAATTTAACAGGTAATGTAAATTTAATATTAAATCTAGTTTTATTACAATTTTACTGTATTTTAATTATGTATGGAATAAAAAATTTAAATTATATAAAAAATAGTGTCAACTGATTCAAAAATTACCCCAAAATGCAAAAAATATCTTTAAAAATTTAACTTTTAACATACCACTTATAAGTAATCAATGATTAAAACTATCAAAATGTTTCTTCTTGACGTCTGGTGTATAAATGATAAATTAATTGAAGTTCTAACGGTGACCTTCACGAAATTGATTAACATTAACATATATAATTACAATATCCTGTAGATGATATGTTTATATTTTAAATGCTTCACACCATAGTTACTTATATTTGAAATATTGTAAAATGCTTACATGTTATTGTAATATGATAATTACTCTTCTACTACCTGATCTAAAATGCATATATTATAAAAGACAAGGCAAAAAAACATTAAATTTAAAACCACATTGCACTTTGTATCATGTGACCTGATGTTTATGAATTCAATGTACTGTTTATGTAATACTTTAAACAAGAAAAATAATTGATTTAGAAATAGTTTCTAGATAGGAAAAGAATGTTAAGAAAAAAAACACATGATAAGCATTTTCAATAGTAAATTGAAAGAGAAATATTTCTAGTTTTAAAATAAAATTTCAAAAGAAACTTTTGTTGTAATTACAGTTAAACAGTTAGATTATATTTGTGTATCTTTAACATAAATTATTGCTTCTTATTTACTAAAGATGGATATATAATTTGATCATCATTAAAATAGCCTACTCAAAGTCATTTGTAGAAATATATAGTGCCTGAAATTCAACCAAATTTAGTTGAAATACTCTTCAGAATATATGAAAACAATTTCCATGCAAAAAAATAGTTCTATAATTTACCAACAGGGAGAATTTGCAGAGAGAAAATATCAATGGTGCAATTTCAGAGTTATAATGTAAATCAAACGAGCTATGTGATGAAAAATTTTCATGTTCTGAGCTATCCTTTATGTCAGTGTTTTTTAATCTTTCTCTCATTGCAGACCAGTAAAATTATGGAATTTTACATGGACCAAGTAATTACATATGAATATAAATTATGCTTATACATGATTATCTAGTTTACTGTTTTTTTATTTTATTTTATTAAAAGATCATCTCTGCAATGGAAGACTTGTTCCTGGTGATTTGACATAGCAAAAATCAAGACATTTTAGTCTTTTCTACATATTTTTTAAATCTAGATTACTATTTAAATGTTACCTGTAATCAACTGCTCCAGCTTAAGTACAGTCAAATATTTTTCTGCAGACTAGTGGAACTTTTTATGAATTAGTGTTTGAAAAAACACTGCTTTATGTGAATTATGAGAACATTAACATTTGCATCATGCCTCAGTGCAAAATTAGAGCACAGTACATGACAAACTGCTGATTGTGTTCTCCTAATGGTTCCAAATCTGCATCATATACACAATGTTCGAAATAAGTAATGATACAACTAACATTACATCCAAACTAAGAACTTTATTTCAATTTTGCAGTTACATGGATTCAAAATAATCCCCTTGCACCTCCACACAACGTTTACATCAATCATACAAGTTGTTAAAAGAACGCTGGAAGTCCTGTTTGTGTACCTCCTTCAGTCTGTTTGTCACAGTACATTTGACGTCCTCAATGTCACTGAAATGTTCCCCTTTTAAAGCACATTTAATTTTCAGAAATAGAAAAAAGTCTGCAGGTGTCAAATCAGGTGAATAGAGTGGGTGTTCTAGCACACAGATCTGTTTTGATGCTAAAAACTGTTTCACAGAGCCCAGTGCACAGAGAGTCCAGTGCATTGTCATGCAGAAAAACCCAACTGTTGCTTTGGAACAGATGCATCCTGACACGACTCATGCGAGCAAAGAGACGTTGTATGACTCCTAAGTAGTACTGTCTGGTCACTATCAGTACTGATGTAGTACATACAATAACACGACTTCATCAGTACTAAGTAGTACTGATGAAGTTGCGTTGTTCATCTTCTAAGATTTCTCTTCCGTTCTTAAATGCTGATAACCAGAGGAACACTTGTTTACAGGGATGATTGTCTTAGTCATGCACAAGAAGCATGTCTTTGTAAACTTCTGATGCCATTTTTCCTAATTTACAGTAAAATTTTATCACAGCTCTTTGATCCATTATGCTACGTTTGACCACCGCTACTTGCACAACAATACTTTCATGACTGCTGTGCATGAACTGGCTGAGTCATTGACATGATTGAAGCATCTGCTTGTTCAGCACAATCTAGCCGGTGAAAAGGTAACCACATTTGGCACATTTCTTGAAAGTATTCATGGAAAAAAATCAGTCTCATTACTTATTTGGCACACTGTGTATATAGTTTAGATTATAAAATGCCTATTGTATCAGAGTCATTTGAAATTTGAAGGATGAAGATCAACATCTGGAATCTGAAAATTCATGGAGGCATCCACAGCTTCATTTAGGTCCAGCAGTTGCCACACAAAGCAGACATTCAAGGGCAGCCAATACTGGTGAAAAATCCAGACAGTTATCAGTCTGGAAGCCCAAATTCCATTTGTCCCTCTTACATGGCAGGCTAAATGATAAATAATAGTAGAATGCAACTAATCTGTACTAATGTTTCTCATAAACATCTTTCTATCTTTTAAAACTGCAAAATTATATTTTTGAGTTTTAAAAGATAAGATTGTGATGGAGATGGCCATGCTGGTTGGAGATGAACAATGAATCACTCTGGTGGCTGTTACCAACAACTGCTATGATACACACTCCAATATGAGATGCTCCACCTTGCGTACAAATGATCAAACCAATAGATCTTCATTTCTGCAACTTCAGAATAAAAAGACTTCAACATCTCTTCATATCTGGGCAATAGGCAAATGGAAAAATTTAAATTCTAGTGCTAATACTTTCTTTGAGATATAAAGCAAACTGTATGCCAGGTCAGTTTTTATAATGAATGATTGATTGTTAATATACACAATCACATTGATCTGTTAACTCTTACTATAAAATAACCCAAGTTTAGAAGTGCAAAGAAATTTTATACATTGCATATTGATTTGCCTCAGCCTAAATGTGCAGTTATGAGTATCTATACTTCCATTCTGATGAAAATAAGCATCATCTCCTGTGAAACACTTTCCATGACTAAGTATTACCAATTTCAAACAAGTAATGTCAGAACAAATGCAAAGTCTAGTTTATAGGTCAGTAATCCAACTACCCTTTACTAACCTTTAACAGGTAGTCTATTTTATTAATGTAATCTAATATTTTCAATCAAATTAATTGACCTTCCTGAGGATCGAATGAACAATTTTTTGATTTATGACGAACGAACATGGTAGTTATTTTTTAGTAAGTGCAGTTTGAGAAGAGTGCACTACTCTAACTAACAATGATCCACACCCAACTACTGCTTTCTACTGAGAAAGCAGTTGGGTATGGATCATCTTTTAACAATAAAATGCAAGAATTTACACAAAATTTTTCACACAGTGGAACATAACCAACTTACCTTAACACTGCACAATCATGGTTTGAAGATCCTTGATCTATTGCATCAGAAAGATCCATTGATTGCTTCGTAACACATTACCAATATCTTCAGCCTGTTGATCTTACTTCTAAAATCTGGCTTCCAGCATCCAGCAATCATTTTTTTGATTGCACATGATATCATTGTAATTGTTTATATTACCAAAATTTTCAAAGCCCAATAGTAGCATTAACATTGCCTTGATAATGCATTTAGTATGTATCAAGTATGATAATGATACATACTTGATACAATGATAATGTATCAAGTATGACGAAGCATTCCTAAGGATGAAAACTGGTCATTTGAAGACTTCAAAGTGAATCTTCATCCAGAAATGGATTTTTGATAGAATATTTTAAACATTTTACAAATGGTTAAGTAGTTTCTATAGAAAACTCCAGACTGTTTTAGTGTTTTAGTATTAGTTATGATAATTATATTGATGTTTCAATGTAGTTTAATATAATAAGAGACAAACGAACCTATCTGACTATGGCAGGAGGTGTCACCTTAATCTCACTGCTCATTACTAATATCCATATAATGCCTAAAAAATTTGAGATGGAATCTCTAAAGTGAATTTAAATGTAATTTTTACAATTAAAGGATTGTCTTCTTTAAATTTAAATGAAAATGTTCCTCGTGGAAAAATTGTTACAATAAACAATTAAGAATATAAGTTTTACTTTTAACAAAATGGCACTAATCTTTCTTAAATATAATGATACATCACTAAAGTCCAGGTACTACAATATTTCACCACTGTTTTCTTTGTTAATTTACAGAAAAAATAATTTGTCAGTTAAAGAACTCAACATTATTTTAATCTTATGCCTTTTTTGTTAATTATAAATTTAAATATGACAATAATTATAAGTTAACCATTATTTTTATTATAAATCTATCAGAATTTGTAATAATCCTAAAATAATTAACCAACAGAATAAAAATTTATGATTTAATTATGGTTTGATTCATTGCTTCTCATGTCTTAATTACTTTTGACAAATTTAAGTTGTTAGTGATTACAGAGAATATAACAATAGGCATTTATGTATGAATATGAAATGAACACTTATGTCTATTCAAAATTAGGATGTGATTATGCAGACTTGAGTGAGCAAGAATATGTGGTGAGAAGAAGTGATGACATTTCACACACACTGTTTCTTGCTCTTGTTTATTATGACCACACAGATGAGAGTGAGAAATAATGTGTGAAACGTCATTACCTCTTCTTGCCACATATTCTTGCTCACTCACATTTGCATTGTCGCAGTCTTAAACTAATTTAAGTATTTTGTAAATTGTTTAATAATTACTTCATTTGTTCTTCATCTTTAAAACAATTTTGTTAATAAAAAATTATTGCTTGTAATATCTATCAGTAGTCAAATACAGTGGTACCTCAGGATACGAAATTAATCCGTTCCGAAACTGAGATCGTATCATGAAAATGTCGTGAGTCATTTTTCCCCATAAGATTACTTGGAAAACCAAATAATTCATTCCAACACGAAAAACACACTCAAAGCTAAGTAGTACATTAAAAAAAAACTAACTATAGTAAGGAAAACACTGAAAAATGTGTTTTGTAGTTGTAAATGTATAAATAACCATAATAGAATAATAATTGATAAAAAAAATGTAGTTTTATTTGCACTTTATCTTTAAGGATAGATGATGGTGGAGGTGTAAACTAGTGGCAAAAGAGAGGGAGAAGGGAAATGATACTAAAACTTAATGTACTGTACATAACATAATGTAACAATAACTTAAAAATAACTTAGAAAAGATAAGAAAAATTAGTGTTGTTTTATATATATATTTTTTAATTTTTATTCACTGCTTTTTGCTTTCTTTCCTTCACTTCCACCAGCACTTTCACTGGATAAAGGTCACTTAGTAAAATATCTATCCAAAGATATTTGGCTTTGCCTACTTTTTAAAATGTTTCAAAGATGACTTAGGCAAATGTCATTACTCCGATCAGCAATACGGCCAGTATGAACCTTTTTGGGATGTTTCTTTTCAATGAAATTAGTCACTCTCTGATAATATCTAGAGATTTCCTTTATCGAGCGAGATCCTTCCACGACGAAGCAAACACACGGACTGAGACCAATGAACAGAAGTGAATAAAAACTGGCGCTGCGAACTAATGTAACGTCATATGGTGAGTTTTTGTTCATATCGTGGAGCAAAAATATGTTCAAATTTCATGTCGTATCCTGAAAATTTCATATGTTGGGGCGTTCGTATCCTGAGGTACCACTGTAATCAATTTTTTTTTAATTTATTATTTTACTTTATCACACTGTAAATGGTTTCTGAGTGCATAATTTTAAAATTTATTAATTCAATATTTTTAATAAACATAATTATTAAAAATTATTACAACGTCATAAAAATAAAATAAGTCATTATATAATTTAGTAATTATATTAAAATTTTGAAAAAATTAAAATTAAATAAACTATTTTTGATTATCGAGATAGAAAATTTTAATTAAAATTCAAAATAATTTTTTATTATTTTATAATCATCCAAGAATTTTCATTACTTAAATGTTAATAATGAATATTAAGCATCTAGATTAAGAATTAAAAATAATCATGGCCTCACAGAACAAAATATTTATTTAGGAAAAAAAAAACAGAAAAATTTATACAGCGTGTCCCAAAAGTTTCCATACATATAAAGGTAAAATGTAACTTTATTCACAAAACATTAAAATGTCAGCATTAAAATTTGTGTCAGTGGATTGATGAAGGCAATGGAACACATGGGTGATCTGCCAATGGATAACTTCTAGAAGGACTTCCTATGTGGAAACTGGATTCTGTTTAGGTGTTAGACACACAAAGAAAACCCCAACTTCTGCATGATGGCCAGCCCATTGTTCAGGCATGAATCAATGACCAACTACCATTATTCAAGGTTTTATTTATTCAACCACCGGTGGGCTTGATTTGTGTCACTGTATGGAGACTTTTGGAACACAATATATAATAAAATACCCAGTAAAATATACAAAATCAAAATGGCATTGGAGAGTGAGTTTAGCAACAACAGGTTGGAAGTTGATGTTAATATTTATATAAGATATATTTAATAGCCAATTCAAAATTCAGACTGTATTCTATTTAAATCTTAAAACTTTAGAATTTAATGTTCAAATTTTTAAAGATCAAATTAGTGCATATCAAAAAAATATATATTTAATTTTAATTAAGAAAATTAAACAAAATATTGTATAACTTTTATATTAATCAAGAGTTAAAATTTTTCATTCAAGTAAAAAGAAGAAAAACCAAAAACTGATATGGAAATTGAATTTGTTTTTATCGTGCCTATTTTTTGACATGAACAAAAAAATAATTGTAAAACCAAAAATTGATATATTAATTTGCTAGGTTATTTATTTGTTAGTTATTGTTCCTCTATTTTTTGAACCATTATTAAATACATCAACAATGAGAAGAGCCAGATAGATGATGCCATCACAACTATTTAACCTGAATATCAGGTACTTCAAGTCTCAAAGTTTTGTCCTATGTAAAAAGTATCACATTAAACTGATGTAAAATTATTTTTTTTTATATAAATGGTAAAAAATTTACTTTCATTATTTTTATTGATTTATTTTTGTTTTTGTGTGTTGAAAGAAATGTGGAAATACTATATTTGTGACTGGGCAGACATTGTTTTATTTAAGGCGCTGGACATAAATACACAATTTCTACTGATGTTCTAATCCTAACTGCATGTAAAATATAGGTGATTATTATTATTTTTTTAAATTTTACATTAAAATAAGGCACTAGAGACCAAAAGTAACGAATTAAAAAAAATATATATATATATGGAATGAATTAAAAAATATATATATATATATTTTTTTTTTTTTTTTAATTCATTGGACTTAAAAAGTATGTAATTTGATTTCTATTCTACAAATAAAAATTTCAGAAACTTATATTTTGTATATCACCCGTTTACAGATTGGCAAGGCACTTCTGTTGTTCGCAATATTTTGGTAAAATCTTTAAATTGCGTGCGAGCTAGGCTGCTTTTTTTTTTTTTTTGCTTTATTATTGTAGTGTTTCGCTATGTATTAGCATTTGTATGTGTAACAACATTATTTGCATACGAGAAGCGCAAATGTTGTAGGGTTAATTTATTTTTGCCAGCGATTTTAATTTCGTTCTTAAAAGAATGTCTTAAATTTTAAATATTGATCTTAAAATCGCTTATTTGGATAAATGTTCTTCCTTGTAACTTTAGTTTGAAATTGATGTTGGAGATTTATTAAATTCGAAAATCTTTACCGAGTAGATTGTATTTGATGTTGTAATTAAGACATTGTATTAAAGTTTTGATCAAAAATTACTCCTCTCTATTTCCGAGTGATGCCGAATGTTCGTGTCACCTTGATTAATTCATACAACTGATTTTAGTGATTTCCATAAATAGTTGGGTCAAGGTTTCTTCGTTCTTTGTAAATTCCACAACCTACTTATTGTGGATTAAACCTATAATTAGCAGGCCAATTTAGGAGAAAAACGAAGCCATAACTGAAATTATTAATAAAAATTATCACAATAAAAATGAGTTGGAATGAGTTTCCTCAATACAATAACGGAAGAGTTTACTCTTAATGGTCAAAATTTTAAGCTAGTGATGTATAAACCTTCGTTTTGTCAATCGTCTTGTTGAAAAAGATAAATATAGTACAATAAACTATCATAAATGTCCGATTTCTTTTTCATTTTATATACTTTTAGCGGCTTTCAAGTATAGTATTTTCAAGGATAAGCTAGTTTCAACTCCTATTGTCACTGAATGTCTTAGGAGTTGAGAAAAACGTCTCTGGAGGAGACCGAATACAAATCTGATGAAATACTTATGAGTTTCCATTAGTCATTCGGGCAGGATTTTAAGTTTTCACGATACAGATGTTTTTTTTTTCTTTATTATAAATCAGATTTTTCGACCATACAGGATGAAACTGATTGACGATGTAGAGCGTTTAAAGTTTTATTTAGTCAAATCATATTTGGATCCTTTTATTTTTCAATTTTGATTTCACTTCATCAATTGGTTTTTAAATAATGAGTATTTCATGTTTCAGATAAGTAAATTGATTCTAAAAGTGAAACTAGTAAGTCTATAAAACACACTTTCTAATGTAAACACAGTAGAAAAAGCTGAAGAACTGATTATAGATTGCTTGATATCGATTTATCGGACAAATAATAACAGATTAGTTCGTTGAATAGAATATTCCAATTTGGAGATTCTATTTTTTTTTATATAGAATTTTTTTCTTTTCGATTGATTCATAAACCAAAACATGTCAAACAATCGTGCCATTTAATCTAATATTCTGGTTAATTCAATTCGTCTAGAGCAATTTGGAGAAGTCCATCGAGGAGTTGGTAAANTATATCAAATATAATTTATATATATAAATTATATTTGTTATCTGTTCTTTCTGCTATGCAATCCAATGATTCTAATATCCTTGGAATTATTTGATCAGATCAGATAAAACCAAAAAATATATAATTAGAAACTTTCTTAATTTAACAAAAAGAAATATTGTAGCATTTCAATGTGTATTTAATATGGATTTTGTTACTTGATTTGCTAGCAAGAAGGTCAAGCTAATGTTATTAAATCTTGAAGTCCTGTTTCACAGAATTATTCTTCGTTTCCTTTAATAGCTCAATTTAAAAGTTTTACATGTTATGATGCAAATAATTTGCTAATATATGACATATGACATTATTTGTTGCATATTTGTCTGATAGTTTAAACTACAAAAATATTCCCAGAAAAATTTTATAGTTAGTTGAGTTTCCTAGTTTTGATAGTTCAGCTAATAAAAACATCTTGTAGTAGTATTTGTTTTCAGAAATGTAAAGTCTCTGTTTGACAGTAATTAAAATAGAAATTACAAGATTTAAAGTTTCAATTACTATCAGCTGACAGTATTTTTACAAAATAAAAAAAGTAAGTTGTCTTCACAGTGCCATTATGTCCAATCACTAGGAACAAAACAGTCATCCTTTGCAGAGATGATCTTTTTAATTTAAATTATACATATATAGTTTTTAATTATTGACTTATTGACAGTGGACATCTTAAAACTGTTTTATATGATTTTACAGAGGTATAGACTCTAATAAAAGGTGTCTCTGCAAAGGAAGACTGTTTTGTTCCTGGCAATTGGACATGATGGAAATGTGATGATGATGTAGTTTCATCTATATTTTTAATTATTTTATTTATCAGAAACCAAGCTAATTCTAACATGAATTTTACCAGGTTATTAAACTTATTATATTTATTAAACTTGCTATTCATTGAATTACTAATAAAATCCTGCCATGCTTCATTTTAGGAGCTTAATATTTTTGGGAAAGTCTTCTCAAAAATAATTAATAAAACTCATCAAGACCTTATTGATAAATTACATTAAGAGGTCATTGGATATTTAATATTTAGTAAATCAGCTTTTAAAGAATTCTTAAGGATTAATTTTTAAAAATTCAATCAATTATTAAAAGTTATTTTTTTTTTATTAAAATAAAAAAATTATACAATAACTTCTCTCTGTAAAAGCTAACATATTTCAAATAGAGATACCATATTTTTCATTTATAAATTAAATAAATTTCATCTATCCATTAATAATACTTGCTAGAAAATTTATAAAAAACTTGTCGTCTCCCCAGATTTTTTTCTTTCTCCATTTGTTTCTGTAAATAATAAAAATCATATATGAAACTATTATATAAGATATACAACTAATAACAGAATAATGATAAATTAATTATAAAAAATTGGTCAATATTGTCAAGGTGACAATGCTATTGAAAGACTTATGTCTGACTAACTTTAAAAGATAATATATCTAAATTATATTAAACTAGCACAAGTCACTAATTCTGGAAGATACAATAATTCATAATTAACAATGTTGCTGCTGAACTGACGTAGGTGTGACCAAATTATTAAAATCATAATTTCAAAAATACGTTAATTACATGTCAATAGTCTATACTTTACTTCTTGGATACACCTATCATGATTACATACCAAATAAGATCATACTTTCATCTCACAATTGACTGATTGAACAGATTCATAGCACCTATTGTCATTAAAAATTAATTATAACCAATAATTTTTTTATTAACTGAACAAACACAAGCTCCTGTTTTGATTAGAAAGTTAATTTTCCATTAATTTATGACATTAATAAAATAGTTTCTCTTAAATGGTAATTTAAATAGTTAAAGGTTATAGGTGCATTGACTGAATGCAGACAATCTTTATTAATGATTATTATAAATATAAATCTCCTAAATACTATTTTATCTAATATTAATTAAGCATAAATTGCTGAAAATATAAGTTTGGCCACCCCTGATTTAGACATTATTCTTGCAAATATTAATATTATTTTTTATATCAGAAAAAGAAAAAGATATTACAGTAATGTGTGTATAGAAATGATGAATGCTAATTATATATTTATTTTTGATAACATTCAGATATATTATTTGTAAAAAAAATTTTTATAATCTTATTCAATCCAGAGTTAGCAATAATATCATATCCATCTTCACATAAGGGAAAGTTCAAGATTGACCTGCATATTTTGATGTAACTTCTCTTATGGATCATGATGTAAATTTGTTATTTAAATTTAGACCAGGCAGGGCCAACATACGGCCCATGGGCCAGATCCAGCCTGTCTAATGAATTTATGAGGCCCACGATCAATCTTTCAGTATTAGCTACTGAAGTCCAAATAGCTAGATGAAAAATTCTGATGCCTAAAAAAAGGAAAAGGTCAACAACTCACTGTGAATTTAGAGTTAACCCTCCATTACAAATCTCCTAAGTACAGTGTAGAGCATTGATAAAGCATGATAATGTGAAAAATGTATCTGTAATCTCTATCTACAATTCAGTCTCTACGGGGTGACACCATAATGAGATCTTGCACCACCTCAAAATCTTCCTAGGGCAGCCTCTGGTTTGGCCCGTGGAAAGTTTTCTTTCCAATTCAGTCCGAGGGCAAAAACTATTGGCCACCCCTGATTTAGACATTACTTCTTGCAAAGAATTAATGTTTCCCTTTGGTGCTGCACACAATGAGTCAGGTGACAAGATATAGGAAGTTATTTGAAAGAGTACTGAACAGCAATGCATCATAAAATTTCTTATGAAAGAAATTTTGCTGAAATTTGTCCCAGATTGCAGTATACGAAACAAAATGTTATCAAGGAAAATTGTATAAAATTGGTACAACAATTTTAGTGAAAATTCAGATAAAGTGTCAAATGTATCATCATCATCATCATCATCATCATAGATGAGTTCTGCAGATGATGGTAAGTGTCATTTTGGAATGCTGATATTATTATAATGGATTTCCTAGTATGGAGAATCAATACATATTCTGCACTTCTGAAAAACAAGTTCTGCAGTGCAATCAACAGAAAGAGCAAAAAAATTGTTGGAGATTATCTTACTGCATCACAATTCATATCTACAAACAGCTCAAGTAACAATGGACTGGGAAATCCTTAGCCATATCTTTAGAGATTAGATTTAGCACCAAGCAATCTTCAACTATTTTCGCAATTATAGAAGCACTTAAGTGAAAAGAAGTTGCAATAAACAAAACCTTTCACAGTTGTATTTTGAGTTGTTTATAATAAGAATGGAAAATTTCATAAAGTATTGTAATTCAAGCCTTTCCAGAATGATTGAGAAAATGTATCATGTCAATTGATAGTAAAAAGGCCACATAATGTGGACATTGTATGTCATATTTTTTTCATAAAATAAAAAGTGATGGCCAACCTTAAAGAATACTCATATAATGAGAATAATGGTTTAATTATATAAAAATTTTTAAATTAAGTACAATAAATAAAACTTACCTGTATTAGATGAGCCTTTCCTGAATGATAATATTATATTTATTACTAAATGAAATAAGCAGCATACAATAGCTATCAATCCAGCCTTTTGGAATGTGTCATGGCTTCCATTATAATCAACATTTAAACCACCCAATAAACTTCCTACTGCAATACCTAAATGAAAAATTTTTAATATCCTTCACTGTATCATCATTTCCTCTAGAAACAGACAGCAAAGTAAAAATTTCTTAAATATTTTCAATAGCAGAACATATATAATCTATCACAAAGCAAAGACTTTCTTAAATGGGTTACAAAAATGCTAATTAATACATTTATAAAACAGCTTATTTAGTATTTGGATTAACAAGTTTAAGATTATATTATAAACAAACAACCCCACTATAACCCGAGACATTATATTATTAAAAGCCAACCAATGCCATATGTCATTGGGCTGGATAACAACTATAATACTAAAATTACAAAACAATTTGATACTAGAAGGAGGCATCAGGTGCCATCTCTTAATAAATTTAATAATTATAATTTTAATTAAATAATTTAGAATAACTGGAAGACAAGATCATACAGGAGATCCGAGTAGCACAGCTGGCAATGCATCCGCATGATAAGCAGCAATTCAGGTTCGAGTCCCGCTCCAGGCTGATCCTTTTCTTCCAGTTCTTCTAAATTATTTAATTAACATCCAAAATGGACTATTTAAATATTAATATAATGATAATTTCTAGCTGTAAGTTTCTTCCATTATTCGATACAATTGTCAAATTGATTAATACCAACATTTGGCGAATATATCTAAAAAATAAAATAAAAACAATTTTATTTTAAATAATAATAAACTTACCTAAACCTTCAAATATTCCTCCTAATATTCCTTGCATTGTTGCTTCTGTTCCTACTGGTGCCACAACTTTTGCATAAGAAGTCATTGCAGTATAAAATATACCAAACGTTGGTCCTTGTAGTAATTCTACAGGTAAAACTAACCATGGATTATTTATAACAGAATACAATAGATAACGTATTGAAAAACAGAGTAGAGTGAGATTAATAGTATTTACGTGGCCCAATTTTTTTATTATTATTCCCGCAAAGAAGAAAAATGGCAATTCACCAAGAAAGCTTTCTACACCTAAAGCTAAACCCATTATTAATTGATTAGATTTTAAATCTGTCATGTACCAAAAAAAGTATGACCAATGAAGACCTGTAAGAGCACCGATAATAAAAACAGTTATGATAAAGATAACTACACGAATCTGAGAAAACAGCACACACACATTTTTTAGAGAGGTTTGAGAAAATTTAGCATTTTTAATATTAGAATTTATTAAAATAATTAAGTCTAATATCATAAGTGCAACAAGCATATAGAAACTGGCAGAATAATCTTTCTGTGGCGAATCTCCCGTTACAAAATCATTTAAAAAACTAGTAAACAAACTAAACAAACCCCAACCTACAGTACCCCACAACCTTTGTTTCCCATAGAGATCATTTCTGTCTTCTAGTAATTCATAGCAAGCGGCGTCAGATAATGATGTTATTACACCCGACGAAACCCACGCAATAGTAATAAAAACAAAAAATAACCAAAATTGTGGAGTTTTATAAATAACTTCATTATTGATGCAATTTTCAAGTGATATATTACATTTCATACTGCAATGAAATTGTTGTTCATCAAAGCATACCGGTTTTACTGATGTACTTCTCCACGCTGCTGCTTTAATAACAAAAGTATCAGAAATATTTCCGTCCTTTCTGTATTTGTCAATGTTTACCGAATACTGTAAATGATCTTGTTTGCATAGAGCAAAGTCCAATGTTGTAAAATTTTCAAATTCAAAACTTTCAGAGTTATTTGTGTCATATTTACAAGGTTGACATGATAAACCACATACTGTGTGATTGTTGTGTGTGTTAGAATGGAAGCATGATGAATTATATTTTTCATTTAACGAGAAGTAAGTACTGGCCGTATTACAATATAGTGATATATTCATATTCCTTTCTTCATTTTTTGCAAATATTCTTGGTACAAAATTCATACATTGATAAGATATAGTCAATACCACAATAAATATAACTATAATCATCTTTAATCTTTGTAGATGATCAGCAATACTACCAAACGTTGGTTTTGCCATGAGGGTAATGAAAGGAAGAATAGTAAATATTACTCCTACTGCTGAAGCTGATATTTGTTGCTGTCCAGCTATCACAGAAAGAAATGGTAATATGCCAGCTTGAGCTGAAAAAAAAAAAGTTTTATTACAATAAAAATTAATTTATTTTTATATATAAAAATATACAAATTGTTTATAATGTGACTTATAGCAATCTGATAATATGTCTTAACTCCCTCTCAGTCACTGTCGCTTCCCATATGTATATACACAGTGATCACTTTTTGGCTTTGAAATGTCACACATTCATGAAAAAATGCTCTAGAAACTTTTAATGTCTCTGTGTTCAGTGTTTTATCTTTATTTCACTATCTCGCAAACAGATGACATTACATTACGGAAAATACTTGGCCACGTTTGGTGGGAAAATTTTGTTTTATTTTGGAATCTGCTAGTGTCTACTTAAAGTGTTTTTGATAGTTTTTTTTTCCCAAACAAAAATTTTATTTATAATTATTAAAATAATATAAATGTAAATAAATAAAATTATTTTTAGAAAAGAAAACAGATGTAGGAGCTAATTTTTTGCATGTTTTTCATTAGAATTATTTACATGCCAATATCAGCAAAAAAATTCACTTTTTGGACAATCAACTTCAAAAAAATAAGACAGAGAAGGGAATTAAAATAACATTAAGTATCATTTATAATCCAGATAAGGATTATTCATGAACTGTATAAATAACTCTGAAATTACAAATTTTTAATACATAGGGTGAGCAAAGTCCCATCACCACTTTTGAAAATTAATTATATTAATATGTTCCATTTGTCATTTGTTTTAGAAGAATGATATTATTCAGTCTAAAGTCATCTTAGTGACATTCAGTGATGAATAAAGAAGTTACAAAGTTCTAAATTATTTATTAAATTATTAAAATTATAATTATTAATTTAGATAAGAGATGGCACTTAACACTTATCTCTAGTACCAAATTTATTTGTATTAATTATTTGTTTATAGACATATTATAGCCCAAATATTTAGGCAATTGTTGGCTTATTATATTAACTCATCGGGCTTTGAGATGTGTATTATAGAAAAATGTAATAAAAAAAAGTTAAACTAAACTAAAGTCTGTTTTTACTGTCACAACTAGGTGCGTAGACAGTAAAAATATAAAAAAGACAATACAGTTTCAGAATACACAATAATAAACTAAAGTCATCGGGTGAGTTGCCTGACATAGCTAAAAAATATATATTTGAAACAGTTACAAATAAGTAGAAAATATTAGAATACATAAAAGTTGAAAATTTCCAATGGAAAGAGAGGAAGGAGTTGAGTGTAACTGCTGACATGTTGACAAAGAGAAATGCCAATTCATTTAAATTGGTACTGGCCCAGGCATACAGTTACAGCAGAAGCAATCAAAGAGATAGGTAATGTGGTGCCATCTAGTGGGGATGAGGGACATAAATCTGGTTCATTTTTCTTTGAACTCAGATAACTTTTCTGTAGTTCAACCGAAATTCACCAAACTGCAAATGTATGAAGCAACTGTGTGGCTTTATATTCCAAAAACAGCATCCAAAATGTCAAAATACTTTTTTGTTATTAAGTGTCAAAAAGGTGAAAGTCGACATTTTCATTTTTTTGCCTATATCTTTCCTCAGAGTTAATTATATTTTTCAAGAAATAATTTATGCACATGCTAGGGTTCTACTGAGCATTTTGACACCAAAATCATCAAATCTAATGTGCAAATTAAAAAAAAAACAAAAAACACAAAAGCGCAAAAGTTGCCCTAGAAGTCTAAGCTCGCTTACTGCTTCCTCAGGCTAATAAATAAAACACACAAAATATTACAGTGTGCCTGTTTTTGTACTTAGTAATAAAAAACATTATTACTAAATCCAAAAAAAATTCTTTTAACTCTAACAAGTAAAATATAAAACTGCATTAGCAAAATGGAAGGGGGAAAACCATATTAAGATCATTTTAATGAAATATTGTCACTATTTCATTCAAAAAAATTTAAATACAGATATTAGAAACCACATAAGAAAAAGTATTAATGCATAGCCAAACGATTGCCTTAAATACTCTAGCTATAAATCCACTAAATTAGCAGATTTATAGCCTGAGTATTTAAGGAGATTGTTTGGCTATATATATACAAGGTGCGTTCCATAAGTAACGTGACCAATTTTTTCATGACGCAATGAAATGCCATATCTAGTTCTAACCTGTTGTGCTAGGTGGCGTGGGATGTTAGCTTCAAAACTCGCTCAGTCTCATTTGCTTCCAAGCTGCTGGTGGTTGAGGACATTCGTTCCTGTGAACCCCGTTTTGAGTTAATGTAACATGGTGCAATGGATCATTTTGTGGAACATTATGCTATCAAATTTTGCATTAAACTTGGGAAGTCCACCACCAAAACCTTTACATTAATTCAGCAGGCCTTTGGGAGTGATTGCTTGTCCAAATCACAAGTTTTCCGATGGCACAAGTCGCCCTGCCCCAAGAAGGCACGAATGAGCAAGTCCAAGATCAAAACCATGCTCATTGTCTTCTTTGATGTCAGAGGCATTATCCACCACAAATTTGTACCTGCCAGGACCAATGTAAATGCAGCTTTCTACTTGGAAGTGATCAAAACACTGAAAAGGAGGGTCGCATACTGTTGAAGTGACATCAAGGACACGTGGACTTCCTTCATCACGACAACGCGCCTTCATTGTTAACGATTTCCTGGCCAGGACCCACACCCCACTAGTGCACAGCCACCTTACAGTCCTGACATGGCTCCCGCCGACTACTTTTGTTTCCGTGCTTAAAAGGGGCCATGAAAGGGAAACATTGGGACACGAAGGCTTATGTTACATCAGCTCTAAAGGACATTCAAAAGACTCCTGCATCGATACACCGCCTTTACAAGTGTATCAATGCAGGCGGGTGCTATTTCGAAGATTTTTGACTAATTGTAAAAATATGTTCAATAAACAATTTTTTATGAATTTAGTCGCATTACTTATGGAATGCACCTTATATATATATATGGTTTCAGGTTGTTTAATAAAAATATTAATATTCTAATAAATCCTGTCTGAGAAATACTAACCAGTGTTTAATTTTAAAACATATATATTTAATGAAGTAAAAAAAAAATAAAACAATGAAAACAGGGTAACAAAGGGAAGCTTTACAAATAATAATAAAAAAGATGCAAATAAATTAATATAATTCTTCAAAAGAAAAAAGTCTCTCTTAATTCTATTATGAGAGTGAAATGCTTCAAATACTTATTTTCTTACATCTATAATAGCTTGATGTTAATGAACTAAAATACTATATATATATATAAAAATTTAATTATATGTACAGTACATAGTGTGTCTAAAGTTGTTTGCACTCTTTTCATTCAAAAAGTGCTGAAGATACATTAATTTTGTTAATGTAATTGCATTGGAAGTCACATATATAAAAGATGTGACTTTGCTGACCTTGAAAGTCAACAAAGTTGAGAGCATCATTTGATTAGTTTAAGACCATTTTCTGGAATTAAATAAATATGTTCTGAACTGCATAACTTGCAATTTTAAATGTATGAGAAGTAAAGGTGAATTTGTATTGTGTGACCTTGAAATCATTTTCTATGTACTGAATACATTTCTGATAAATACAGTACCATACAGTACAGAACTATAACTGCACATTTATAAACAAACAAAAATTTTAAAATTTATTTATTATTAATATATCAGATGACTTACATTACACAATCACAAATATAAAATATGTAAAATCCTAATTCTACAATGTTTAAAACTTTTGCAATGATATCAATAAACAATTACTTCCTATAGCTTCACAAATAAACAAATTAATTTTCTATTATCAATATGTTAAAAAACCTCTAAGAAACAATTATCCAAAAAATTAAGGAAATTGCTTAATGAATCTTCAAAAGCAATCCACATTTTTCCTTTTAAATGAAATAAATATTCTGTATTTTAATTATTGAGCAAAGTTAAATTTTAAAAATTTTATATACATGCTTAGCAAGAAATAAGTTTCCCACTTCAGAGAACTCTGGAGTGCATTTCTATTGCTCGAAATGAGACAAAATTCGGCCTACAGATAATTCAAATGATGCCCGACATTTCTTAAATAAAATAATAGTATAAAAATCCATCGACAGGTGGCACTGGAGCGCACAGAAATATTGAATGTGCATGCACACATTCAATATTGAATATGTAGCACTAAAACTGCTCAATATGTCCTCCTTCATTTTGAACAATGTATGCTAATCGCAAAACATTTTGTATAGCTGAACACAGTGAGTCTGCTGGAATATCCAGAACATGGCACCAAATGCTGTCCTTCAGATCTGGCACAGATGCTGGTCTCATACGGTAGACATTGTCCTTCAGGAAACCCCAAAACAAAAAGTCGCACGGGATGATATCCAGCAAGCAATGAGGCCATGCTGTAGGAAAATAACAGCTGATTACCTAACAGCGCCACCTATCAACAGATTTTTGTACTATCTGTTTATTTAACAAGTAAGAAATGTCAAGAGCATTAGTGAGGTTGAGACCGAAGTTTTAAACGCGAAAACGTGTACATCGGACGTTAAGCGCCACTTTCCTGTAAGCCTAGAAGTTTGACAATGGTGTTATGATAGTCAGTGGAATCATGCTCGACATTCCAAACACCATTGTCAAACTTCTAGGCTCACGGGAAAGCGGCGCTGAACGTCCGATGTATACGTTTTCACGTTTAAAACTTCGGCCTCAACCTTGCTATTATTTGAATTATCTGTAATCCAAATTTTGTCTCATTTTAAGCAGTAGAACACACTCCAGAGCTCTCTGAAGTGAGAAACTTATTTCTTGTTAACCTTGTATTTGAAAACTCATTCATGAACAGTTCTAAAAGAGTTTGCTATGAATTTTAAAATGGAAATACACATTTGAACACATTAGAAATGTGAGAACTTTTGAATCAGATATGTCTCATTCTACAATTTCTTGGGATCTTAATAATCATTGTAAATAAAAGAATGGCTTATTTTATCATTTAAAAATGTTATTCATTATAATTCTCCCATTGATCAATCATGATAAAATACAGTTTCTTTATAATTTTCTATTATTTTAAACATTTAATTAAAAAGTTTTACAATTATTTCTATTAATGATATATTTAACATTTACATACTATTCTTATTAATTAAAAAATTTAATATTATAAAAAGTTTTTTACCTCCAAAGTATAGAAAATAATGCATCTTGATGGACAGAAGACCCTTGTTAATGTTTTGGTTAAATATCTTCATGATGTTTGATGGAATGTACCTAATTTGAAATAAAAGTTTCAAAGTATTTAAAAGGAAATTTTATCATTACGTTATAATTTTTTTTGTATATGTCAGTCAGCGATATTAAATTAATTGCCAATAGATCCGTCATCTTCAGTTTGTTGTATAATAATTGCTAAATTAATAATAACTATTCATAGTTTTATAAAATACACTAGAATTTCAAATGCAACTAGGAAATTCTATATTCATAGTTTCAATGGGATTTTTCTATAAAATACTAGACTTTATTACTTTTGAAATAATTTGATAATACTGATATACAATATCAAAATATCTTGTTTCAAACTACAGGTATTATAATTGTATTATAGTATCAACACAGCTTGCAGAAATAAATACAAAGATACACAATCAAATACTATAAACAGAATATTTAAAATGAAACAGATAATTATTGTAAGAGGAAAAGAATAAGCTCTACCAAGTTTTCCTGTTTTCATATATTAAGCAGATAACTAAATTTAATAATATATTTTCCTAAATAACAATTATTAAACTTTGAAGAAATTATAAACTTTCACTTTGTTGTTCTCATTTATGTTAATATTTTCATTATGACAAAAGAATGAAAATTATTGTTGTAATAATTTTAGAAATATGGTCAATCATATGGAATAATCTAATTATGAAAAATTTATCTAAGCATAATTTTCTAAAACTTGTTCCCTTCCTAATATATAAAAAACAAAGCTATACTATTAATCATACAACCATCAGCTAAATTAATTGGGCGATATTATACTACAATTAAGAATTAGAAATTAGAGGTAAGCATTAGGCATCATCTCTTATCGAAAGCAGGAACTATAATTTTAATATAATTTAGAATAGTCTGGAAGAAAAGAATCAGTTCAGAGCGGGAGTCGAACCCATGACTCTGCATACCATGCAATGCACTAACCAATTACGCCACCTGGACTTCCAAGCAACTCTTCCCTTCCAGACACATTTAAACTTTAGATATGAGAGATATCCGATTCAACCATCCAAAAGTTACATTCCCAGTCAGTGCCACGGGTATTTTAATGCTCACTGGCCTACTCCAACATGGCTATCACATTACCTGGCTTGGTATATATGTAATGCGATAGCCAGCTGAATGCCATGATCAGCACTGCACAGCTAATGGAGATTGCGGGTTCAACTCTCACTCTGGGCCAATTCTTTTCTTCCAGACTATTCTAAATTATATTAAAATTATAGTTACTGCTTTCAATAAGAGATGACACCTAATATCTACTGATAGAAATAGATATAAGTAAATTAAACTCATGCCAAAATTGTATAGCTTCTTGATAACAAGCAGTAATTGTTATCAAGAAGCTATCTACTGCTAATTTCTAATTCTTAATTGTAGCTTAATATTGCCCAATTAATTTGGCTGATGGTTGGATGATTAATAATACATTAGGTTATTGAGATGTTTATATATAAGCTATATTATGATAAGTTGAAACCAAATCACCAGATAAAAATTTTAGGATTTGAGAAACAAACCTCTAAAATTTCCATAAGACAGGGTTTATCTGTACCAATATAGATGGAATCTTCCTGATGACAAATTTCCTTGATATTTGAAAGACTTTAAGAAAAAAGCATTATTATTTTTTTAAGAAACCACTCTGGCAGAATCGTGATTTTATTAATGACTTGACAGTAAATTTTTATTTTAAAACCACCTCTTTTATAGAAATTTTTAAATACAAAGGATGCAGAATTTTCCTATTAAGAAAAAAAAGAAAATTTGCTCTTTATAAAAATCGTTTTTTTTTCAATGATAAGTTATATGTAAAACTTACAAGTCACATCCTACACTAAAGTTTATCATTAGTAATTAACTTAATTTAACTTTCAAGAACTAATATTTAAAGAATTCAAAAAATTTATCAAGTTTATTAATGAATTCAAAAGTATATTCTAAAAGAATAAACAATAAAATTAAGTAAAATTAATCATTTATAATTTCATATTAATAATTCTTCAATTTGTTGTCAATAGCCACTAGGGGTTAATGTCTCTTTATCTCTTCTAAGTGAATATTGTACTTTCAAATATAACTCTATCTTTAAAGAAACAGATAAAAATCATCGCAGATCATAATGTACTATTTAGCAAATAAGATTTTCCTGATAATTTATTATAATTATCAAAATTATCTTGAGATGGTGGCCTAACAACCTATCTCGAGACAAATTACTTTATATTTAATTGCTTAGTTAGCCTTATTGCAGCCCAATAACTTCAAATATCATCTGGCTTGAAGATTTTTTTCATCTGGAAATTTACTAATGGTACATTTTTCCAAGATACGAACTGAATCAAAAATTAATAAATGTATTAGGACTGTACAATCAAAACAAACAAATTTACTAGATGAATAATCATAGCAGAATCACTGTAAAGAAATTATAGAAAAACAAATTTTTCAGCTATTCTAGAATCCTGACAATCAGGATAAACAATATTTATTAGTAAAATCAAGTTTATTTATAATTTCAAAAGAATGAGAAAAAAAAATTCAATTTTTACATTTAGAAAACAAAATCAAGTATGAATAATAAAATTTATCATATTTAAAGGTTATCATTTGCTAGGCAAGCATCATATATAGCATAATAAGGTTAGACATACTGTATATTTATCAGTTATAAAAGAAAATACTGATAAAACTCGAGAGAAAATAAAGTTGGAGATATAAATAATAATAAACACACACTTCATGCTAATATAATCTATTCATTTTAAAGATAAACTTAGGATATTTTTGTAGTCCACAATATCAAATGAAATGTTCATTTTCATTTAAATTTACAAATACTGTATTGCAAATTTATAATATTTGTATTGTTTATAAATTTGTAAATATTTTTTTAGCAGTTTAATTTTATAAATAACTTAACATATATTTAAATATCAAGTATAAAAATATAAAAAAGCTGCTCTTTTCTAAATTTAACTGCAGATAATCAAGTCAACTATATAGCATAGGCTAATTACAAGAGTTTTTTTCTAACAGTTGGCTCCATTTTAAATAGTAACTATAGTTATACTTATTTAAAAACTTTTGCAATTTCATTTGTAATTCTTCAATAATTGTGTGTTTCAATGTTTCAGAATTGTTACAATATTTCATTTAAACTTTTCAATGTAACTAATTCCAATATATATATAAAATTTAGTCACTTTTAAAGCTTTTTTTTTTTTTCTGAATCAACAGGTGGCTAATAACTAGCAATTATTATATTTATAAGAATAGTGAATTAATATAATTTGAAAGAATGCAACTAAAAATATTGTAAATAATCTGACCAGATTACAATGAATAATGGAGTGGTGATGCATAGTATAAAGTTACTTGATATCATCAGAAAATAGTTTATTTTTATTTAAGTTACATTTAAAATATTTATAATTTCCCACATCTAAGTATTAAAATTTAAAAATAAATTGAAGTATATCATTGAAAAATGAAATTTCAGTGTTCCCAATCAAACTATTAACTGATTTTAATGGTATAGATCAGTGTTTCTCAACCTCTAAGAAATCGTCGCCCCCTTCAAGAAAACTGTTACATAGTATCACTTTAAAATTCCGATGCAGAGGGTAAAGGCTAACGCCAAATTCGTACTGCATTGAATAGACTAGTGACTAGTATAATGTTATTTGTTTAATTATTGTNGCTAACGCCAAATTCGTACTGCATTGAATAGACTAGTGACTAGTATAATGTTATTTGTTTAATTATTGTACGATATAACAAATAAAATATCTAATTATTCTTAATATAATGTTTTACTATATCGCCCAGAAAATTGTTTTTCGCCCCCAAAATATAAATTGTTACTAATCGCCCCCTCAACATGGAAAAACACCCACATGAGGGCAATATCGCCCTTTTGAGAAACACTGGTATAGATGATTATATCAGATTATTATTTACTAAAATATAAACAGAAAATCAAATGTTTAAGAGATTTCAGGAATCAATTTATTTGGATAAGATATTTTTAAGACCTTTATAGTTCTACAGACCTTCATATCCCAATTACAATTTGTTCTATTAATCTTCAACTAGGAGAACGGCTGAAAGAGAGCTATTACTGTTCTAATAATAAAAAAAAAAATTCTCAAATTAATGAGCATAACTAATTTGGTTTCAATTCTTTTTATTATGTACCTTTACACACATGGATATATAGTTGAATGCAATACTCCTTACTATTAGACTCATTAAAAATACAGTTAACTTTTGATTATTGTAATCAGAAATAATGTTATCAAAATTAGCAGGTGCCAAAACAAAGTTAAAATACACTACAAAAACTTCATTTATCATCTTTATCTTTGAGTAAACAGTCATTTTAAAGCTCTCTTTTCATGTTATCAGTCTCAACATGTAGCTGATAAAATATAATCATCAGTCACTGTTATCAGTCTTAATCAGTGTTCTTAAACATTAATAGTTTTAATCATTATTTGCTTACAATACAACAGTTTAAATTACTGGCATTATGCTATCAATAAATCTGATAGCAGACAAACAATCTGGATAAATTACATTATTATTAGTAATAACTATAATTAATTAATCTTTAAATTGTTTTAATGTGTCCTTGACTTTCAATATAATCAGAATTTTTGTAATTTTAGTCTATTTCACTTAATGTTATCAGTTTATGCAAATCTGAAGTGATTACAAGCACATCTTGCTAACAGAATAGATTAGCTCCAGAACAGCAAATATTGCCTTAAAGCAGGGGGTCTTATTCATTTCTGTTCCATGGACCCCTTTTTTAGATAAGTGAAGGTCATGGATCCCTTCTCAGACCCCACAGAAAAAAACAAACACACAATATAGTAATATATGTGCTTCTTTCTTAATACAATAATTAACAATTTTACACAACAACACAAAAATAATAAAATAAGTTAATTTTTACCTTTACAAGCCCATAGACCTCTGATAATTTTCTACCAAATCTTTGGGGTCTGTGGACCCCTGGTTAAGAACCACTGCCTTAAAACTAAACACAGCCTTTTTTACTTTTTCCAGTAAATATAAAAGGCTAAAAACATGGTATTATTTATTAAGTTCACAACAGATCTAAGCCTAAAACAATGCAAAACTAAAAATAATAAAAAAAACCTTAAGAGCAAGATTTGCACTGAAAAAAAAAAACTTTAATGTAATTGAAAAGTGCCATATTAGTAAAGCATCTTAAAGTGAGAGATACAGATAATAAGCAAAAGCCTGATGAGAGAATAATATAAACTACAACAGTTGCTGAGCAGAATCTGCCCCACCAACATATGATAAATCACTCATAAATGATAGAAATAGACAATTACTTATATGTATATAAAATACACAAGATATTTGTGGCACATCTATTACAACTTATGTACAACTCAGCCCACCAATCAAAAAGTTTAGGCACTATTGGTGTAAATCATCACTGAGTAATTTATTTAGAACTATATACACCATTATTGATATTGTACACTTGTTACAAAACAATTAATAATAAAGAGAAAATTGAAACTACAAAATATCATCCTTATAGTCAAAACAATAACAAGTAAAATGATTACATCATAACAAAAAAATAAAAACAAACACATAATAAAACAAGTAAAACGGCAAAACCATATTTAGGACAAGACTATGTCTCGGAGATTCACTACTAAACGAAATCACTTTGGTGCTCAAAACGGGTCTCATTCTCATTCTCCAATCTTCTTTGGTATCGCTGCTTTTGGGTGCGATCATTCAAACTTCACGGCCACAACCACGAGGTCATCCACAATGCATTTTCAATGCAATTAACCTATCCAATTACGAAATTTCTCTCCGTTGCGTGTCGGCCCTGGTTGAACTTTTGTCAATGCGTAACGAAAAGTTTCCGTTTTTGAAAAAAATAATCGTGGCTATTGTATCGTCCAAAATTATTTTTTTATTTTGCGCAAACAATATACAGTTTAACCCGATTATAATGCCATTGAATGTAACAACAATCTTAATATAAAATCAAATTTTTATCAGTCCCACGATTTTACTATACTAGATAATGTTAAAAATCCTACTTGTAATGACACCCTGTTTTAATGTCATATTTGAAGCACTCCCAAATTTACAAAATTAGATTACAAATTTTATTTAACACAGAAGAAACAACATGTTCAGTCCTAAGGTCAGAGTTCACTTCTTAGAATGACTGTGTGTGGTACTCTCCCCCACTTGACTTCGGTGGGGTGAGATGGCTGTTTTGCCTGTTTGTAGAAGAGGGTTGCCATTTTGTATTTTATTTTGACTCTGTTCTCGATCCCCCGACTACATACAAGTCCGGATTTTTTTATGCGCAAATGATTTGGGCACCTAATACTATGTGCCAAATATCAACTCTCGACATGTACTCCTTCATATCTTTAAGCTGGTAACATAAACCGGCAGTATGATTTTATAAACAAGACATAGTCTTGTCAAAAAATTAACAGTAAAATAAATTTCTCAACAATTTATATAAAAATATTCAATAGTTGACTTAACAAACCAAGTCAACCGTAATGCAAATTTTTAAAAATTACTCATAAATTTACCCTCACCTCTCCCCTTAAACTATACAGTAATTAATAGGCAGGTCCTGGTAAGAAGTGTAAATTTATATATCATTGTAGTATAAAAACTTAACAGTACAATTAAAACATTTAAACTAAATATATCCACTTTGCAAACAGAAAGAAAAGAAAAACTATTAAGTTTCTGCTACATTACTTGAATATGTTGTCTCGCCAGTGGCCAAGTGGTTCCGTTCCCCAAACACTGGGAGTTCGGTCCTGGGTTCGCACCTCACCAACGAACCAGTCACATGGAGTTATAAACGTGAAGAAAACCTGAAAAACTCCAAAAGTCCAGGTCATTAGCGAGGTGCAAACCCACAGATTCACGCCACTCGGCCACCTTGGCTACCTAGGGTAAATTTAACCATTCAGTTTATATTTGTACATAACGTTATGCAAGGAAATTAGGAAATTAAATAGACCGTTACAAATGGCATAGAAGAGAACTTATTACCATCATTATTCATTACTCATCTTCGATTAGGTAGGATTTCAGCATTATTATTATTAAGTAAAATATTTATTCACCATACTTTAAACAAACAAACATAAATTATCATTAACAATGTACTTTCGCCACCTCGTATCACTTATTTATCACGCGTTAGTTCATTAAACTGAAGTTGCAAGTTTAAATTACGAAATATTTAATGCCAACTTATGTAAAATTTACGTAATTTATATTTTTCGAGTATGTTTTAAATCGACTTACCTTTATTTAGTCGCAGATTACGGCTTTTTTGAAATTAAACAGAATCACGAAATGTGCAGCCAACAGCCACGTGCTTAACGAGGAAATCGAGCAGAAGTTGCAACGAGTTTCTAAACCTTACGTCCAGAGGTCGCTGTTGTTGACTTTTCTTGATGTAATCGAGATTATCACTATTCGTTCGTGGAAGACGAGATTAAAAATTCACTTTTAATCAATATAATTATCTTTAAATATCGAATTAAATATTCGAGCATATATTTTTTTTTTCTAGAAACAGCAAAATGAAAAGCATTTTGAAACGCTTATTATAAATGTTATGGCCGGATAATCGAGATCGCTAAGCTGTCTGATCGCGTCTGTAAAGAACTCTGGGGCTGTATTCTGGTCACTATCTCTGGTCTCTCATCTCTAGCAAACCGGTCGCTGATTGGCTAATCGAAATGATTAGCCAATCAGCGACCAGCTTGTGAGAGACGAGAGACCAGAGACTGACCAGAATATTGCCCCTGGATCATTGGAAATTGTTTAGTAATTCTGTATCGAGCCATTGTTGAACCTATAAGGGATATGTTGATAAACCCAAAAGAAGGAAAGAATACAAAACAAATTTAATAACAATTTAAATATATTTTTTTTTTGGAGTAAGCGATCATCTTGCCAGCATGATGATCGTCATAACTATCCGATTGAAAGGACGTAGAAACATTTCTATCTTGAAGACTTAATTAGCATTGTGCTTTAATTGATTGAATTGGATTTAACGAGAGAACCGGCATTCTAAAACTGCGTGGCCGACCAAAAAGTTGCTTTTTATGGGTGGCCTAACCTGCGATAGGATTGGATTAATTGTATAAGGAATGCAACGTATGGGCAATCTGTCAAGGAGGTTTCTTTCGGGAAGACTTTTATGGGAAACTGGCCCCTATTTAGGAATAGACATGTGAAGAAAACCCCGAAACTCCCTCTTTTAGGCACGAACCCAGATCCAACTCCTCTGTTCAGTGATTTTACCACTCGGCCAGTAGGATTTATTTGCAATAGGTCATCCAGTATGGATTACTTTGAATATGAAACGACACGTCCATCTATATTAGCTATGTTAAACTTTTTCCAACGCACCCGAATTTGGATCCCCACGGCATTAGGTTGACATCTTACAAACAATCACCTAGATAATTATTGTTTGAATTAAGATAATGATATCTTTTCTCTGTGATTTTGTCATCTTAATCTTATAATCGAGATGGGTTGATAATAATAATAATAAGCGCAGAGCCCAAAATGTTAGGAGTTGAAAGTTGAAATTAGGTACAAAGTTAAGGTACTCCATGAGAATGCACACTAAGAAGGGGTTTTTTGGAAATCCCCCGTGGGGGGAAAGGGAGAGGGATGATATAATAGAAGGGTTAGAAGTACGAGATAATCTAATAATCTTAATCTTTGATGTTGTTATTTTTTGCTGGGGTCATCTGCTAGTTAAAAATATACTTGTATAACCACGATACAAATTATCTATTGATATTATATTATTATAATTGGAGAAACAGCGTGTCAAACAATGAAAGTCCAGTTTATTTATATTTTGCATACAAATTTCTTTCGAAGAATTTAACTAACTTACCTAGTATCGTTCTACAATTATGATAATGTCTGATATGAAATATTGTCTATTATATAGCGATATTATTTATAAATTTATGTGTTGCCTACAGATTATATAATACGTTAAGAATAGTTTATAAATCAGTCTAACATGATAATTATATAACGGTATCATTACGTGTGCCAAGGGATTATTTGTTTGTTTGTATGAGGCAACAAAACCCTCGGGCGATCTGCCGAGGGAAATACCTCCCGGGAGGACTATCTATTGGAAACGGGCCCCTAATTAGGTGTTACAAGATGAAGAAAACCCGGAAAACTCCACGTAGTAGGGAGGTTGATGAGTCGCGAACCCACGATCATCAGTGTTCAATGCTTTTATCTACTCGGCCACAGTGGGGTGTAAACAGATTAAAGAAAGTAGAAGGAAAATAAGGGGCAATAGAAGCAGTAAATACTCGTAGCATATCAGAAACCACCTTGTACTAACTCTGGGTTTAATCTTCCCAAGCTTACCATACATTCTTGAAGATTAACACATATTCAAGCCAGAGTACTGTATAGAAACATTCTGATTTGAATATGTAATTTTATTTTGTTTTATTTTTCAAAAATTTAAATTTTTTAGGGGTTTATTTTTGAATATTGTAATATATGTTAGATATTTGTCTTTAAGTTTTGTAATTTTAAATCTTTGCTGTATTTTAAACCCTTGAATGAAGTCTATTTTAAACCCTTAAATGAAGTCTATTTTAATGCAAATTGTCTGAAATCGCAAAGTAAACGAGTAAAATATAATATCAGATAATAATAAAATAGAAAAAAAAGTATGATCGTAGCAGTTTCTTATCTTCTAAACAAAGGAAACAATCTAGTTTTTTTTTTATCGTCAGTTATTTTTAACTTATACTGTTGTTTTCCTTGTTTACATCCTGTTAAAACATTCCAATTAAAATCCTATAATGTTTTCTTTTTGTATTCGAGTGTTGTCATATATTTTCATTTAATTGGTTTTACTCAAAATTATTACTTAGTAAATTAATATGCTATTGTAATAAATAAAGTTATTAAAAGGGCTTTATCTATATACGAAGTTCCGGTTTACATCGAAGTCATGTTATTTCAATTCAAAACTTCCCCTGGAAGCAGTTAATTAATAGATGATCGGCACGACTCCATTGCTAACGGAAAAGTATGATGTACAATACAGGGGCAAGACACTACAGTACTAATTTAAGGTGGAGAGCATATATTTTAAATTAAATTAAATTAAATAAATTAAAAATTTCAGACCGGTATTGCAACGATACCACAATAAATAATTGAA